GCTGACGCGCAGCCCGGCTGCGTCCCCGTGTCCTCCGCGAAGGGCGACGCGACCGTGTTCTCCTTGAGCTTCTTATTCACGGCCATGGCCAGGTCCTCGATCTCGGCCTTGACCTCCTTGATCTTCGCCTTCAGCTCGGGCTTGGTCATGTCCGCGTACCTGGGAAAAGAGGGCGCGGGTCGGACCTCGCGCGCCGCAAAGCGCGCGCGCGGGTAGCGCGAGCGCGGCCCGGCCGCCGGCCGGCCGCCGGCCGCGCGGCGCCCGTCCGTCGCACGGCTCTTCGAACGGCCGGGCGGCCGGCGCCGCCGGCCGGGTGGCCGCGCGCCGCCGCCGGGGCCGCCGCCCCGCCCCGGCGGGGCCGCCTCGCCGGAGCGAGAGCGAGCGTCGGCCAGCCGGCGCGGCAGCCCCGGAGACCGCAGCCCGGGTTCTCCATTTCGCCTCGCAATACGTTTTCGCTTCGCAGAGACGCCGCGACGCACGACATGGTACGAGAGAGCGTGGACGGCGCACCCGACTAGCCTCTCTTCGACGATGCCCAGGCGGCCTGTTTCACCCGCGCTGTCTGGGGAGATTTGTGGTGAGCGCTGCTAGAGATGCTCATCCAGAGGATACCTCATTTGTGTAACACCCGCCGCAAAGTTGATGTTCCCTCTTCCGAGCGAGCGAGCCGCCCACATATCCCCCAACGGGAGACGCATCGCAGTGGTGCCGCGTGCGAGCTCCCGGGGATTTTTTGACGTCTGCTGTGGGCGACGCGGCGGCCGGCGCGTGGGTGCGACCGGCGGCACGCGTCCCCCGCGCCGCCGCGAGACGTCCGACGCGAGACATCCGTCGGCGACGGGCAAGCGGGCGCCTCCGCGTGTCGTGGTCGGCCGTAGAGAGCTCGACCACGACGACGCGGCGCGCCGCCCCCGCCCGACGCCCGCTCCGCGCAGAGACGCCCCCCCCCGCAGAGAACGACGAATCACCCGCGCGCACGGCCGTTACGGGAACGACGTGCCGCGCGGCCTCGCGACGATTCGCGCCCCGCCGCCGGGCGACTTTTTTTTGGGATGGAGGTGGGAGACCGCCGGCGCGGCGCCGGCTTCGCAGCCGCCGGCGCCGCTTAGAAGGGCGCCCAGACGTCGCCGGTGTACTGCGCCAGGTCCGACGTGAAGAAGGGGACCGAGCCCGGGACCGTCGACGCGGCGATGAGGGACATGATGCCGAGCATGCCGAGGCGGCCGTTGTTGATCTCGGCGTTGCGGCTCCGGAGGCGGTCCTCGGGGGACTTGCCGGAGATGTACTTGGAGCCGAAGTACCAGACGAGCTCGTGCGAGCCGCTCTTGCCGCCCTTGGTGTAGTGGGGCTTCTCCGCCTCGCCGAGGACCTCGAGGAGGCCGACGAAGCCGAGGATGGACCACTTGCCCTTCTCCGAGAGGTTGTCCCAGGCGAGGAGCGGGTTGCCGGTGCCGAGCGACGCAAACTTGTTGCCCGACATGTCGAGGTTCGCGGGGAACGTGTAGCCCTGGTAGTTGACCAGGAAGCCGACGAAGGCGGCCATGGCGACGCGGCCGTGCCTGAGGGGCGCGGGGTGAGACGGCGGCGCGCGCGGGGCGATGTCTTTGGCTCGGATCAACAAAATCGGGGACACCGGGAACGGACTTGATCTCCGCCTCGCGGTACCACGCGAGCGCCTCGTCGCTGCAGCCGTTGGAGAACCCGAAGGGATCGAAAAGGCCCATGGGCATGGTGATGCCCTCCATGTCCTGGACGGCGGCGAGCTGCGTCTTGGGCGCGGCGGCGCTGGGCGCGACGAAGGCCGAGGCCGTGGCGGCGGTGAGGGCGATGATGAGCTTCTGCATTTTTTAAACCTGCGCGGAGAGCGGGCGTCGCGCACAGCGTCTTGCGCGCGTGTCGGGGTGGCGTCGCGCGAGCGGGCGCGGTAGCGATCTCTGCTGGACACGGCTCCATTGCGGATTGAGGATCGGGCAAGCTGAAATCCACGGCGACGACCCCAGAGTCGACCCCCGGCCAGATAGCCGATTACCCGGGGGTCCCCTCCCACTAGTCCGCGTCCCAGTAGACGCCGTTGACGGCGCCGTGCCAGCGTTGGAACCAGGCGTCGAAGAGGACGAGGTGCTGGCGCCCCACGAGGGGGTAGATGACGCGGTCGTCGGGGCGGTAGGTCGGGTTCTTGAAGTCGCGGCGCCGCGCCTCGACGTGCGACCAGAGCGACACGGCGCGGTCCTTGAGCTTGTGGGCCTCGCGGAGCCGGTCGCAGTCGAAGAGGAAGGTCCCCGTCCAGCCGTCGCTCGCCGCCGCGGCGACGGTCACGAGGAACTCGACGTTGAACTCGAACGCGTCCGGCGCCTGGCGCCGGACCTGGTGCACGAGGTCGATCCACTGGAGGAAGCAGGGGCTGCGGTCGCTCGACGCGTGGCCCTTGTCGTCGAAGCCGTGCCGCTCCGCGAACTTGTGGCCGCAGGCGCACCACTCCTTCTCCACGAGCACCGCGAAGCCCCGGATCGTCCGGTAGAACGGGTCCATGAGCAGCATCGACCTGCCAAATGTGACGGTGACGATTTCTCATAGGTTTTCCCACCCGAAATCTCTCGAAAATCGTCACGGCCACAGGACGCTGGCATCGACCCCGCGGTCAGCTGCGGCGTGCGGTCCCAGCCGTCGCTGCAGTGCACGAGCACGGGCACGCCGTGGCGCGCGACGGCGTCGACGACGTGGACCACGGCCGCGAGCAGCCGCTGGAGCAGCGCGAACCAGCCCGAGCTCGACGCGCACGCCGCCGCGAAGTCGCCGCGGCCGCAGACCGCGTCCACCAAGCCGTCGTGGGCCGCGCGCACCGCGTGGATGTTCGCGATGCCCATGAACTCGAGGCGCATGCGCACCTACCAAGCATGTCGGTAACGATTTTTCGTCGTTTTCCCAGCCGAAATCTCTCGAAAATCGTCACGGCCACAGGACGCTGATGCGCACGCCCTCGTAGTGCTCCAACGTCTCCGTGCCCTTGCCGCCCGCGATCTGGTTCCCCTTGACGGCCAGCGGGCTCCGCGCGTCGACGACGAGCAGCATGGGCGGCTTCGCGTCGGCGTCGCGGTGCGCGAGCGCGCTCTGGGAGCTCGCGGGCCTACGCGAAAAGTGTCTCTTGAACGCTCGTCGGGACCGGTCGCGGAACCTCGTAGATGACACGATAAGTGTCGGAACATTTTCTCTTGGGACGCCGGCGCGGCGCCGCGCGGCGGCGTAGTTGGCGCCCGCGGGCAGCGACTCGCGGAGGCTGTGGCGCCGCGCGCGCCGGAGCGCGCGCGACCGCCACGCCGCGTAGCGCCGGAGCTGGGGCGTCGCGTCGCCCGCCGGCGGCGGCGCGGCGTCGTCCGCCGGCGCCTCGCTCGACCGCGGCGTGAGCGACACGCGCCGGTCGCCGAGCTTGGGCAGGTCCCCAAAGTTCACGTGCGACTCGCAGGCCGCGGCGCGCTCGTCGTCTTCGCAGAGCGCCTCGCGGGGGCCCTCGCGCGCGCGCTCCGCCGCGGCGTCGCCCGTCGCCGCGTCGCCCGCGAGCCGCCCGCTCGCGCGGCGCACGGCCTTGCCCAGCGACGTCTCCTTCGCGAGCGCCTGGAGCGGCGCGGTTCGAAGAAAAGATCCAAACAAACTCTCGGCGCGTGGTCGGGGGGTTCGACGAAACATCTCCGCGCGGAACCCGCGCCCGCAGCGTCAGATCGTCCGAGGCCGTCGACAGCACGCCCGGCGGCGTCGCGGCCTCCGCGTCCAGCTCGTCGTCGCCCTCGAGGGACCGCCAGCCGCTCGCGGACGCGACGGCGAGGAGCATCGCGTTGTCCGCGACGGACCGTTTGTGGAGCACCTGCGCGGATGCTCGATGGTTGCTTCGCCGCCCGGTAGACGCCGGTCTCTTGCCCCCACGAGGGGCTGGCTGCAGCGCGAGATCGTCGCGTGGGTCACGGGGTCGCGCCAGGAGAGGATGGGGATGCGGCCCTTGGACCGGTAGGCCGCGACCTCGCGGAGGCTCGCCTGGGCGGGAAAAGGGTGCGAAATTCCCAACTTCAAAGGCTCCTCTCTCGGCCACTCGTTTCGGCTGATTTTTGGACGAGCGATCATCTCTCGGAGCGCTCTCGAAGCGCGGATGCTTTTTCTGGAACGCGCGCGCGCGGAACACTCACGTTGAAGCGACGTTGAATCACGCTCTCCCCGCGCGGAGGCTCGCGTCGTCGACGGACCGCGGCACGGCGAGCACGCGCGCGTAGGTCGGGCAGAGCGAGTAGTCCTCGTTCGCCGCCGTGACGCGCCAGGCGCCGTCGGGGATGCCCAGGCGCTGGAGCTCGCGGGCCGCGTCGAAGAGGTCCCAGCCGAATTTCAGGAGCCGCGGCACGCGCGTCGACGCGCGCGCGGCCGCGTAGGCCGTGAGCTCGCCGCCCTCGGCGTCGTCGTCGTCCGTGCCGTCGGACGCCTCGTCGTCGTCGTCGCCGTCGTTGTCGTCGTCGTCGTCGTCGTAGGTGCCGCGCTGGTAGGACAGCGCCGCGTGCGCCGCGGACGACGTCGACGTGAAGCCGGCGATGGCTGCCGCGGCCGCCGTCGCGCAGCGCTCGAGGAGCCGGGGCCGGTTCGCGAGCCAGAACTCGAGGCGCGCGTGGATGCGCGCGCTCGGCGGGCCCTCGTCCGCGTCGGGCGCGTCGAGGCCCGCGAGCGGCCGCTCCGGCGCGGCGCACTCCGTCTCGCGCGCGGCGATGACGACGCTCTCGACGCGCGCGCGGTCCTCCTTGGGTTTGCCCGTGCGGCGGCCGAGCACGGCGCCGAGCATCGCGTCGAAGCGGCTCAGGAGCCCGCGGTCGAGGCGCCGCGCCGCCGCGCCGTCGTCGGCCGCCGCGGAGACCTTGCGGCTCGCGACGCCGTGGAACTGGAACTCCAACGTCCGCGCCGTCGCCGTGTGCACGACCAACGAATCGACGCCGCCCTTGGTCCGCAGCTCCGCGCCCGTGACGGCGCCGAGGGACGCGTGGCACGTGAGGCCCGGCCGCTTCGACCCGCGCCAGTACCTGGGCAGGAAAAGGGTGATTCAAGTTCTCTTCAACATGAGTGTTCTGCGCGCGCGCGTTCCGGAAAAAGCATCCATGCTTCGAGACCGTTCCGAGAGATGATCGCTCGTCCAAAAATCAGCCGAAACGAGTGGAAAACGGCCGAGATCGGAGCCTTTGAAGTTGGGAATTTCGCTCTCTTTTCCTGCCCTGGCCAGTACTCGTCGCGCGCGAACAAGAGGCGGTGGTTCGTCAGCAATAAAACCCCGTCGTTCGCCGCCGTCGCGCCCTGGTCGCCCGCGGTGCAGACCAGCGTGACGTCGGACGCGCAGTCCTCGACGGCCTCCGCGCCCGCGAGCGGCAGCCCGAGCCCCCGGCCCGGGCCCCCGGCGAAGACGGGCAGCGCCGCGGCGTGGGCCAGCGCCTCGGAGAGCCCCGCCAGCAGGGGCACGTTCGTCGCGATCTCGAGGCGGATCTGGCCCCGGGACCCGCGGTCGCGCGACGACCTCCGGCCGAGGTGAAACCAGCGGTCCACGCGCACGTCGGGCCCCAGCGCCGCGAGGGGCAGCACGAGGCGCCCCATGAACTCCTCGCTCGGCCCGCGGATCGTCGCGTTCTCGTCCCAGACCTCCACGACTAGAAACCGCATGGACTCGCGGTCGAAGTCGAGCGTGAGCGCCTCGCCCCATCGCGGGTCGAGCGACTCCGGGCAGGTCCGCGTCCGCGCGACGACGCCGCCGAGCATGACCTTGGCGAAGGGGTCCGCGAGGCCGTTGGCGTCGCCGACGCAGGGCAGGTCCCGGCCCGCGTGGACCTTGACGCGTAGCTGCGGCCGCTCCGCGCGGCACTTCTCGACGCCCCGCATGACCTCGCCGAAGATCAGCTCGCGGTCCGACGTCGTCGCCTTGCCGCCGTCCGAGATGATGTTCGCGAAGCGCTCGCGGTCCACCTGCTCCAGCGTCCGCGCCTTCGAGGAGTCGGGCTCCCACGCGCAGTGCCGGTCCCGGAGCCCCTTGACGGCGAGCGACGGCCCCCGCTGCAGGTTGATCACGGCAAAGACGGCGCTCATCCAGCGCTCCTTCTCCTTGGACGTGCCGCACTCCACGAACAAGCTCTTGTGCACGCGGCAGCCCAGGGCCTCGACCTCGGCGCCGCGCGCGGCCTTGGCCGCGGCCGGCGTGGAGATGAAGACGCAGTTGGGCTTGTGGCCGCTCGGCACGACGGACGTCTCCGGCCCGAGGAGCACGGCGCCGAGGGGGCGCCCCCCTTGGCTATCGAAATAGACCATGGCGCCCTCGCGGAGCTCGAACCACCGCGTCTTCCACGTCGCGCGGACGTGGCCCCGCTTGCTCAGGTGGCCGCTGAAGATGACCGCCGCCGCCTCCTCCGCCGCCTCCGCCTCCGTGTCGTCGAGCATGGACGCGTGGTACGCCTCGATGTCCTCGCGCGTCGACCGGCCGCTGAGGTGCGACGGCCGGTCGAGGAGCGTGTCGCGGCCGGGGGACCGCAGGGCCGTGTGCGCGATGTTTTCCTCGCTCGGCCGCGCGGCGAGGGCGCGCGCCGCGGGCATGCGCACGAGGCCTTCCGGCGGCGGGTCGGGCATGGTCGCGGGGCTCGAGGGGCCGGGCCTGGCGCCGACGGGCTGCCCCTAGTCCTCGGACGCGTCGGAGAGCACTCGGTCGGCATCGGGCTGCCCTGATTGGCCAGAGCGGCGTGAGCGTGGCAATCTCACTTGCAATCTCGAGCGCGGCGCGCGCGGGGTCCTAACATCCACCACGGTCGCGAGCCGACGCCCCGGGCCGGAGGGTCACGAGGTAGCCGCCCCGCCGCGCGCGGCGTGTCGCCGGGCGCGGGCGCGGGGGGATTTAGACACAGACGCGCCGCGCGTCAGCACATGATGCTGTCGTCGCCCTTGGGCACGGCGACGCCGGAGAGGTGGTGGAGGAGCTTGCGCTTCTCGAGCTTGCGCATGTCGAAGCCGTCGAGCTGGTCCTCCGTGAGCCGCGCGAGCGTCGGCACGTCGGCGACTCCCGCGGACTCGAACTTGCTCTTGTACTCCGAGAGGTCGAGCTTCGACAGCAGCTCGTCGAGGGACATGTCCGGCGGGCCCTTGGCGTCGCCGCCGGGCCGCTCCGTGTCGAACATGCCGCAGGTCGGCCCGGGCTGCGCGTCGTCGCCGCAGTTGATGTTGAACATGCTCGGTTTCGGCGTTCGGCGGGTGGTTCGTAGCTGGGGCCGGCCGCGGTCCGGCCGGCGAGGCGCGACGCGGCGGCCGACGCGCAGGTGCCACCCGGCGCGCAAAGAGGCGGGCGGCGGGAAGATCTTGTCCAGGCGTAGCCCACACACAAAAGTGCAAGGCGGGCTGCACCACCCTTCATATCGCCAAGGTTGCATCATCGCATGGCTTAGTGAGACGGCCCTGCTCGGTGATGTGATTCGCTGAGCTCACACCACAAACCACTCTAATGCTGGCTTGGTGAGACCTGTCGCAGCGAGTACGATGGCCCACCGCGTCGTCTCCGACGCGGACGCGCCGCCGCTGGACCCGGGCAATTTGACGCTCGACGCCCTGCTGCACCCGCTCGGCAAGGACGCCTTCTTGGAGACCCACTTCCGCCGCCGCGCCGTCGTCGTCGCGGGCGGCGGCGCGGCGCGCGCGGCGGCGCTCTTCCCCGAGGCGGCGGCCGGCGACGTCGAGGCCGTGGCCGCGGCGAGCTCGTCGGAGCGGCTCATGCTCTGGGTGCGCGCGGGCGGCGCCGCGCCGTCGGGCGAGGCGCGGCGCTGGGGCCTGCCGGCGTCGCGGTCCACGACGGCGCTCACGTCCGTCGTCGCCGAGGACGCGCGCTCCGCGGCGGCGCTCCACGGCGCGGGCCACGCGCTCTACTGCCGCGGGCCGCCGGGCCTCGAGGCGTCGCTCGTCGACGCGCTCCTCGGCGAGACGTCGCTGGGCCTGCCGCCGCGGCGCGGCGCGGGCCAACTCGCGGGCCACGGCGAGGTCGAGATGTTCTGCGCGCGCGAGGGGCACGTCACGGGCTGGCACTACGACTTCCAGGAGAACTTCACGGTCCAGCTCCGGGGGTCGAAGCGTTGGCGCGTCGCGCGGTCGACGGAGACGCACCCGCTCCGCGCGCACTCGCTGCACTTCGCGGACGCGTCCGTCGCCGAGGACCAGCGCAAGGCCGCGGGCCTATGTCACGGGCGCGACCGCGGCGCCGCGCCGTCGTCGAAGAAGCGGAAGCGCGACGCGGACGACGTCGACGAGTTCGTGCTGGAAGCGGGCGACGTCCTGTACTTCCCCGCGGGCCTCTACCACGAGGTCGAGTCGCTCGACGACGACAACGTGTCGCTGAACGTGTCGCTCGTCGCGCCGTCCTGGGCCGAGGTCGTCACGTCGTCGCTCCGCCACTGCCTCTCGTCCCGCGAGGCCTTCCGCGCGCGCGCGACGTCCGGGCCGGGCGCGGCCGACGACCTGCGCCGGCTCCTGGGCGAGCTCAAGCAAATCGTCGGGCAGCTCGACGTCGACAATTTCACGGGAGCGATCCTCCCGCGCGCCTGCAAACGGAACCCGGTGATTCGAAGCGACGGCGTGAGGACGCCCTACGACGACAGCGACGGCGACGACGACAGCGACGACGACGGCGAGTTCGTCATCGACGTCGTGAACGATCCGGAGCCAGGCGGGATGAGGCCGTGCAAATTAGACGTGAACCCGCTCTACGCCGCGACGATGCAGCACGAGATCGAGGACGCGGCGGAGCCGTCCTGGGTCATCATCAACGGCAACTACGGCGGCAGCGAGCTCCTGGAGCCCGCCGTGCGCGCGCGGCTCCTGCTCGGCCCCAACCTCTACCGGAAATTCGAGGCCGCGCTCCGGGCGCCCGCCGGCAATCCGGAGACCTGGTGTGTCATCCGTGGGAAACTCGGGGGGAAGCTCATCGCCCACCTCTACCACCTCGGCTTCCTCGTCAAGTCGGCCGGTCGTGACCGAACGATCTAATCCTGTTAGGACGGCGTCCCTCGTTCATTGCGGCAGGCGCGTCTCCGTGAACGCGTCGTCGAGCGACACCATCTGCTGGCACGCGAGCTTTCGCCGGACGACCTGCGCGGGGTACCCGTGAACGCGGCGCGGGTGCGCGCGTCGCGTCGTCGGGTGCGCGTGTCGGGCGCGCGCGTCGCGTCGTCGGGTGCGCGTGGTGTCGGGCGCGCGCGTCGCGTCGTCGGGGCGCGGGCGCGCGCGCGGTCGAACCAGAGCTCCTGGAACGGTGTCTCGCTGTCGAGCCAGTGGCTGCTGCCGTCGACCTTGAAGCGGCTCACCTTGCAGCCGCCGCCCTCGTAGACGACCTCGAGGTTGACGCGGACGACGGCCGGCGGCGCCGGCGTCAGGAGCGTGGGCTTGCTGAAGGTGGCGATGAACGTGCGCACGTTGGAGCTGCTCGGCTTCTCCTGGAGGTGGCACTGGTAGCTGCACTTGAAGTAGGACTCGCAGAACTCCTCGGCGCAGACCTGGAAGCGCGACTTCGACTTGGCGGGCGTCGGCCGGGACGCCATTGCCCCGCGCTGCGGAGAAGGGCAGCGTTGGATACGCTGCCCGCGAAGGAGCAGGGCACGCAAATCAGCGCACAGCTTCGGCCCCCGACAACCGACCTCGTAGCGTGCGCGGGCGCCGTCGCGAGGCCTCTCACACTCCCGGCGTCGCGCCGCGGCCGCCGCACCATGGAGGAGCGCGCGAAGCAGGACCACAGCTACGCACGCAGCGCCGCGTCCGACGCGCGGGGGCTGCCCAACGTCGCGGGGAGGGGGCGCGCCGGGGGAGCGCGTCGGGCGGCGCGGCGCTCGAGAAACGACGCGCCGGGGCGACGGCGCCGAAACGTCCGAGCGTTCGAGCGCCGCGCAGGTCGCCGACGCGCAGAACTGGGAGCAGCGCGTCAAGTCGGAATTGGAAGCGTCGAAGCAGTGGTACAAGGACTGGGGGTCGCTCTACGCGCCGAGCCAGCCGACGAACTACCAGGACCGCATCGAGAAGCTCCAGGCCAAGGCCGACGAGATCCCCGGCGTGCGGCTCCAGACGAACAACTCCATCTACGGCACGGGCAAGCCCTTCAAGGAGTTCGTCACCGTCAAGGAGAAGAAGCCCGACCTGTTCTAGGGGGGGCACACCTAAGGTCGGGTTACAGGCGCGTCTCGCCGGGGTCCCCGATGAGCGCGCCGCCGCCGCTCTCGCCCCGGAGCCGCCGGGCCTGCGCGCGCTTCTAGGGGGGCACACCTAAGGTCGGGTTACAGGCGCGTCTCGCCGGGGTCCCCGATGAGCGCGCCGCCGCCGCTCTCGCCCCGGAGCCGCCGGGCCTGCGCGCGCCACGCGCGCGCGAGCGCGCCGCCCGCGGCCGCGAACCCGGCGCCCGCGAGCGCGAGGAGCGCGACGCCGACGCGCGCGGGGAAGCGGCCGAGGTCGACGGCCCGGCTTTCGTCGTCGTCGTCCGCCGCGTCCATCGCGGCGTCGTCGCACGACGGGACGCCGTAGTCCACGAAGATCCGGAACTCGGCCACCGCGCCGCCGTCGCAGTAGTCGAAGGACACGCCCGCGCCGACGCGGAGCGTCGCGTCGACGCCGCCCGCCGCCGCGGCGACGTCGAGGTTGCCGCCGCCGTCGAGCGCGCACGCCTTCCAGCTCGCGCACTGGCTCGCGGCGCCGCCGTCGCACGACCCGACGACGGCGCCGCCGACGGTGACGTTGCCCGGCGCCGCGCCGCCGCCGAAGTCGCCGCGCGCGTAGGCGCGGAGCACGGCCGCCGACGCGCCGGCCGCGCGCGGCGGCGCCGCGACGGACGCCGTCGCGGCCGACGACGCGCTGCCGACGCGCGCGACGGCCGAGGACCGCGTCGCCGAGCCCTCGGACCGCGCGCCGCACGTCGGCGCGCGCGTCGCGGCCGGGGACGGCGCCGGCGACCGCCGCGGCGTCGGCGCCCGCGACGGCGCGGGCCCGCACGACCGCGCGACGAACTCGACCTCGACGTCGGCCTCGGCGACGGTGCCGCCGTCGCAGTAGTCCCAGTCGACGGCGTCCGTCAGCGCGACCGTGGCCTCGACGGCGGCCGACGGGCCGTCGAGCGCGGCGCCGCCGCAGGCGTGCCACGCGTTGCACTGCGAGACGCCGCCGCCGTCGCAGTCCACCGTCGCGTTGCCCGCGGAAGCCGTCGCGGCCGCGCCCGCGGACCCGAAGTCGCCGCGGACGGCCGCGCGCAGCGTCGCGGCGACGACGGTCTCGTCGGCGGCGAGGGCCGAACCGACGTCGAGCGCGACGACGCGCGACCCGCCGGGCGACCCGAAGGCCGCCTGCGCGCTGCGCACGAGCGTCCGGTCCACGCAGACCTCGTCGGCCGTCGCCGACGTCGCGACGACGAGGAGCAGCGTACGAACCGATGGCATTGCTGAATGGCTTCGTTTACGCGCTGGAAAATGCTGCGACCATCGTGGCGCCTCGCCAACTTCGCGATGGTGAATTCAACGTTGCCGGACTTGAACTTTATTAATCGGGGCGGGGATCTTCAAGATCCCCTTGGGCTGCCTCCACACGCTAGAAGTCGACTACCTTCTCCCATCAAAGCCATGGCCGCGGTCGTAGCAGCCGCGGGCGCGATGGGCGACGTCGGTGCGGTCGCCCCCCCCCCGGGCCCCCCGGCCCAGCCCCGGCCCGCGCGCAGGTACGAAGTTCGTCGTGACGGCGAGCAACGAGGTCGGCGGCGGCAGCGCCAAGTTCGTGCTCAAGAAGTGGGCCGCCGTGGACTCGACGCCGGCGTGCTCGCGGGGCGTCGGCGACGAGCTCGAGGTCGTCGAGCTCGACGGGTCCTGGATGCGCGCCAAGGCGACGGCCGCGTCCAAGGGCGGCTGGTTCAGCAGCGAGGCCGGCGGCTACGCCGTCCCCGCGGCGCCCGAGGCGCCCGCGGCGCGGACCCGGGGCCCGGAGATCACGCTCAAGGTCATGCACCCGGAGCACAAGGACCACAAGGTCATGACCGTCGAGGTCTACGCGGACACGCCCGTCGTCGACCTCAAGGCGACGAATCGGGGCGGGAAAAGAGCGCGAACTTCCCAACTTCCAAGGCTCCTCTCTCGGCCGTTTCCACTCGTTTCGGCTGATGTTTGGACGCGCGATCATTGCTCGGAACGGTCTCGAAGCATGGTTGCTTTTTCGGAACGCGCGGGACGCTCGTGTCGAAGCGAACTCGAATCTCTCCCAGGCGACGATCTGCCGCGAGACGGGCCTCAAAGAGAAGCCGCTGCTGCCCGTGAAGAAGTACAACTCGGGCCCCGTCGACGACGACCACAAGGCCATGATGGAGAGCCGCCTCAAGGACTACGTGAACTGGATCCCCTGCGACGCGAAGGACACGGTCCGCGACGTCGGCTACGCGAACGGCGACGCGTTCGCGTTCACGTACCTCGGCACGGCCCAGGACGACCTCAAGGAGGACCTCAAGTGGATCGCGCCCATGTACTCCGACTCCGACGACGACGACAGCGACCACGAGTGGACCTACGAGAAGTACGTCGCGCAGCAGCGCGGCTCCGGCGGCGCGGGCGTGATCTCGGACCGGCCGGGCGCGGCCGCCGCGGCCGGCGGCGACGCCGACTTCATGGAGTAGGCGCCGAGGCGCGACCCGTGCGCCGCGGCGCCCGGCGGCGGCGCCGACCGCGCGGGGCGACGCGCCGCGGAGCTCCCACACCGCAACGCGTCCGCGTTCTTCTCAATTTATCGACCGCCAGCCGATCCCCGCCCGCGGGCGTCGCTGCGTACGCGGCGTATATCTACGCCACCCAGACGGGGGTTAGGTCCAGGGCAGGAAGTTGCAGTGGGCGAGGGGCCCGACGACGGCGAAGAGGCCCGCGTACGCGCGGACCGCGCGCGGCCGTTTCGCCTCGAGCGCCGCGAGGCTCCAGTAGAAGGGCAGGCTGCTCGCGCCCAGGAGGCGCGTGGCGATCTCCGCGTGGGCGACGAAGACGCAGACGAGGGCGAGGGCGAGGCCGTGGCCCGCGAGCGCGCCGCGGACGACGGCGGCGTCCGCGGCGCCGCACCGCGCGTCGGCCCGGAGCCGCCGCCGCGGCGTCCGCGCGAGGCGCCGCGCCTCCGCGGCGAAGGCGTGCGCGGCGATGCCCACCGCCGGCGCCGCGAGGGCGAAGTTGGGCAGCTGGCGGAGCCGCCAGTAGCGCAGGAACCCCACGTCCCAGCCGTCGGCCTGCGCGGCCGCGTACGCCGACGAGAACGGCGCGCCGCCGCCGCGCGCGCGGTGGTGCAGGACGTCCTTGACCAGCGGCGGCGCGGCGACGCAGGCGGCGGCGACGGCCGCCGCCGCGAGCCGCGCGGCGCGCCGCGGCGCCGGCTGGCGCGCGGCCGCGCGCGCCGCGCCGCGCGCGGCGACGACCAGAGCGTAGAGCGCGCCGTTGCTCCGCGTCGCGGCCCCGAGCGCCAGGGCGGCCGTCGCGGCGACGAGGCGGTCGTCGACGAGCCAGGCGACGCCCCAGAAGGAGCAGGCGGCCGCGAGGCTCTCGGAGTAGCAGGTGCTCATGAAGACGGACGCGGGCGTGCAGCAGAACGCGACGGCCGCGCGGAAGGCCGCGGCCTCGTCGCCGAGGAGCGCCGCGGACGCGGCGTAGGCGCCGCCGGCGGCGGCGACGAAGCAGGCGTTGGAGACGAGGACGCCGGCGACGACGAGGGCCTCCGCGGCGCCGAGGCCGGCCGCCGCGAGGCACCGGCCGACCGCGGCGCAGAGCGCCGGGTACGCGGGGAAGAACGCGGCGTCGAGGTCCGACGCGTAGCCGAAGCGCGCGACGCCGAGCAGGTGCGCGGCGTCCCAGCGCGTGAAGGGCCGCGTCAGCCAGACGGGCAGCAGCGGCGCGGCGTCAACCTGCCAGCGCCGGACGCCCGTGGCGTCGTGGTCCGGCAGCAACGCGTCGGCGACGACGCACCAGGCGACGCAGAGCAGGCGCGAGGCCAGCGCGTAGCGCACGACGGTCGCGAAGCGCGGCACGGGCGCCATTCAGCGGTTGGCAAGAGGCTGAGTCTACTGAGGCATCATTGCTTGGCTGGGCCGCACTTCACCGTCGGTCGATGCAGTCTTCAATCCGTTTTTCTTGCGTCGGGGCAGCCCCATAGAGCCCCACGCCGTCGGCACATCCGCGCCGCCGCGCGCTCGCGCGATGACGACGGCGCACGCCATCGCGTTCTGCGCGGGCCCGCTCATCGTCGCGCTGCTGCTGGCAATTTCCGGCGCCTTCACGCAGTCGGCCAAAACGGCGGCGCGGCCGCCCCACGCCCACGTGGCCTTCACGAGCCGCTTCGGCGCGCGGCTCAGCGGCAACGCCCACAGCCTGCTGCTCGTCTGCCTCATGGCGGCGCTCGCCGAGTGCTGGAACAGCGTCGTCACGCCGGACCTCGGGAGCGTGCTGGGCGTCGAACTCCAGGGCACGCTGCTCAACCTGTCGGGCGCGGCGCTCGGCGGGTTCGCGGCGGTCCTCGCGGCCCACGGCGGCCGGCGCGGCGCCCTCTGGAGCGCCTTCAACGACGGCTTCGTCGCGGCCTACACGTCCTTCGTCTTCTTCGTCGTCCACGCCGCGGAGCTCGCGGCGCGCGGCGCGGGGGACCCTTCGACGAGCGTTCGAGACGGGGCCGCGAGCCGATCGCCCGTCCGAAGACGCGTGGGATCGCTCGAAAACCCGCGCCGTCGCCCAGGCGAAGCGCGACAAGGAGACCGTGGACCTGTCGACGCCGTACCTCCTCGGCTGCCTCCTCCTCGGCCCGGCGTTCCACCTCCTCGGGCGCCGCGCGGCGCTCGCCGCGTTCCCGCCGCCGGCGGCGCCGCCGCCCGGCGACGCCGCGGGCCTCGCGGCGCCGCTCGCGGCGCTCCTGGCCGCGGCGCTCGCGCGCGAGTGCGCCGCGGGCCCGGGCCGCGGCGCCGCGCTCGCCTTCGGCTGCGCCGTGACGGCGCTCGCGTGCGTCGCCGGCGAGCTCGTCGGCCACCTCGTCGACTACGAGCTGTCCTTCGCCGCCCGCGACCGGCGCGGCGACGGCGCACCCGGGCGCGCGCGCGAGCCCGGGCGCCGCGCAGGTCCACGAGGGCGAGGTCAACTGGGGCACGGCCTTCGCGAACGCGGTCGCGCTCTGTGTGGAAATCAACCAGTGAGCTGGGACGTCGGGGCCAAACTTCAGAAATCTCTAGCTCGGTCAAATCGAAGTCGATTTGGCTGATTTTTGGACGAATCGATTGCTCTCGTCGAGTTCTCGAAGCACAGCAGAAAACCTCGCGTCGAAACGGTCGCATACGCGCACATTGAAGTCGGGTTGAAGATTTGATTTCCACACAGGTCGCGCTCGCGGTCGCGTCGTCGATCTTCGTCGTCTTCCGGCTCCCGGCCTACGCGGCCTTCGCGGCGCGCCGCGGCGCGGCCGGCGACCGGCTCCACGCCGCGCTCGACCGCGTCGCGGGCTCCTTCTGCGGCGCGCTCTCGGGCTTCGGCGCCTACTCCGAGGACGTCGCCCAGACGCTCCGGGAGCACGACCCGGACGGCGCGCTCGCGAACGTCGCCGTCAACGCCATCGTCGCCCTCGCCTTCAAGAGCCTCCTGCTCCCGATCTCCGACGGCGCGCTCGGGGCGTAGGTGGCGTCTTTTAGCGCGTCGGGGGAAGGGGTTCTTGTTCGGCCCCGCGCGTTCGGCGCGGGGCTCTCGGGCTGCGTACTCAGCACGTGCCGCAGGTCGCCGGGCAGGCCGCTTTGGCGCCGGGCATGCCGCAGCGGCGCGCGGGGTTCCGCGCGACGCTGACGCAGTCGAGCTTCTTGTTCTTCTTGTTGGTGTGGTACCACGTCGCGTCGTCCGCGCACGCGCCCTCGGAGGGGCACGACGCGCAGGCGCGGACGCACTCCGCCACGGCCCGCGCGCCGGTCGCGCCCTTCTTGCGGCACCGCGTCGTCGGCTTCCTTTCGACCCACTTGCAGGTCTTCGTCGGGGCGTCTTTCCGGTGCCAGGACAAGGAGTCGCGGCCCCTCTTCGACTCGCACGAGGGACCATTGCACGTGTAGTCGCAGCAGGTGCCTTGGCGCATCGCGCATTCGCCGATCGGGCAGTCCGGGACCTCGCACTGCATCTTGCAGAGCTGGGTGCCGGAGTCCGCGCACCACTCTCCGAGATCGGTGAAGCCGGCGGTCGTCGTCGTCGCGCTGACGACCGCGCCGACGTCGTCGCACGTGCCGCACGCCTTCTGGCAGGCGGCGCTGGCCTTCTTCGAAGTCGCGCCGCCGATCGTGCCCTGCTTCTTGCAGGTTTTGACGAGCTTAGCGCCTTCCTTTTGGGGCTTTCCTTTCTTGTAGAAGAGGTCCTCGCATGTTTGGAGCTTCTCGACGCACGCGCCCTCGATCCACGCGCACTTTTTTTTACACTTCTTCTTCGTCGTCTTCTTCGCGCACTTTTTCTTCGCCTTCTTGTTCGACTGCGCGAGCCAGTCCGCGTCGTCTTCGCACGTTGCGGCGGCCGCGTCGCCGGTCGGCGCGGGCGTCGGTGCGGCGGAGAGCGCGGCCGTCGTCGTCGTGGTCGTCATCGTCGTGGTCGTCGTCGTATCGCTAATCGGTGCGGGCGACGGCGCGGGCGTCGGCTTGGGGCAGGCGCCCGACGGGACGATCGGCGACGTGCCGTCGAGGTAGACGCCGAAGCACGTACATTCGTCCGCCGTCGACGACGCCTGCGGCTTGTAGAGGCAGGCGATCTCCGTGCTCCCCGAGCCTTCGCCGCGCTTGTTCCAGTTGTTGAAACTGTCGAGGTCCGGTCGGCCGATGAGGCCCCGCTGGAGGAAGTAGACGAAGAACGGCCGGCCCCGGCGCTCTTCCGGGGGCGCCGACATGGGAGCGTCCTTCTCGACCCAGCCGACGGTCAGGCCGCCGCACTCGTCCGTCTCCTCGCAGAGGCGCTTGGCGCACTCGACGTCGGGCTCGCCCTGGGCCCAGCACGCGTGGCCCTCCTGGATGAAGCCCGCCCAGCGCGCGTGCGGGAAGGCGGCCGTCTCCTCGGGCCACGTCCAGCCGAGCGCGTCGACGTCCGCCTTGCTCGCGGTGTGCTCGCAGAAGGCCGTGCCGTGGAGCGAGTTGGCGCCGCCCGCGCCGTCCTCGCCGCAGAGGAAGTTGCTGCCCACGGGCGCCGTCGGCAGCGCGTCGCGGAGCGGGTCGAGCGTCCAGGCCGTCTGGCACGGCCCCGGCGTCGCCCAGGGCTCGAGCGAGGCGTCCGCGTCGTAGTCGAGCGCCGAGACGACGCGGCCGGCGTAGTCGTAGGTGCGGCCGAGCTCCGTCCACGCCGTCGTGTCTTGGAAGCAGAACTCCTGGTTCTTGCAGGGCATGAGCAGCGGGTCGTCGCACGCCTCGGCCTCGAGGATCTTCGCGCCGCCCTTGCAGAACGCGCCGAGGTTCTCGCACTGGTCGCGCCCGCGGGAGGCGTAGTGCGCCGCGTCGTCCGGCGACCACGACGCCTCCCAGCAGCGGTCCTCCGTGCCCAGCGCCGCGTCCGCGCCGTCGCAGGCGACCTCGTCCTCGACGTGGCAGAAGTCGGGATGCCAGTCCCACTCGCAGTCGGGGTAGCCGGGCGCGCAGCCGGCCAGACCGTCGCAGGCGGCCTCGATCGCCAGGAAAAGCCCTTGCTCGCCGGCGCTGACGTCGCCGTCGCCGTCGTAGTCGACGGGGCCGAAGCTCGCGAGGCGGTTGTGGCGGAATTCGTCGAAGGGCTGGCCGAGCGTGAGCCGGTGCAGGAAGCCCTTGCGCAGGCCCGTGAACGTGTTCGTGATCGAGATGCAGCTGTCGTAGGTGCCGTCGGGCGTGGCGTCGGGGATGCCGTAGGCGAAGTGGACCTGGCGGCCGTCGCCCGGCGCCATGTTCAGCCGGCGCATCGGAAACCACGAATACCACGAGGGGTCCTGCTGCACCTCGAAGCCGACCCCGTCGAGAGTCGACGCGACGAGCTCGATGTCGAACTCGCCCTCGTCGCCGTGGCAGCCGGGGTCGCGGTCCGCGTTCGCGAGGTGCGAGATGTGGTGGTGGCTGACGCGCGCGAAGCGCGTCCCGGCCGTGCAGCGCCCCTGGAACATCTGGGAGCACGCGTCGCGCAGGTCCGCGGGCACGTCGCCGAGGTCCTTGTCCCAGCAGGGGTAGGCGTAGCCGCTGTCCATGGTCGCGTCGGGCGTGAGCGGGTAGCCCACGGACGGGTGACCCCGGAAGTCGTAGTCGTCGCACACCTTCGTCTCGTCGAGGCACTCGTCGTGGCACGTATAGAACGGAGCCCAGAAGTTGCCTAGGGAGACGCGCGGATCGGGGGACGGGAAAGGCGCTTCGGGACGCGGAGCGACGCGCCGTGGTCGCCGCAGGCGCCCGCGTCGCAGTACTGGCCGTCGCCGCCGTCGCCGGCGCACGAGCCGTAACTGCCGCAGTTGTAGTACTCGCCGAAGTACCTAGATTCGTACGGTTCCTTGAAATCATGTAAATCATCGACGCCGTTGAAGATGCCCAGTGTGCATCGCCGGCAGCCCGCGGTGGCACTCCTGGCGCTCGCCGGTGAACCGGATCTCGACGGCCATGGTCCCGTCGTCGCGCGGGCCCTCCTTGTCGGCCTTGACGACGGTCCCGTCCATGTGCAGCACGAGCGCCGCGTCGGGCAGGAGCGTCGTCCGCAGCTTCTCGTCGTCGCCGAAGGGCTCGCACGACGCGACGTCCGCGTCGACGAGCGCGGTGCCCGAGCGCACGAAGAAGCCCGGGTTCCGCTCGAGGACGGCGGCGCTGACGCCCGGCGCGTCGTGGTGCGTGCGCCACTCGAGCGTCAGGTGCACGGGCACGCCCGGCCCCGTGGCGAAGAAGAGCGCGCGCTTCTTGGGATCGGTCCGGTTGTGGGACCCCGGCCCGCCGTTGAGCGGGTAGATCGCGTACTCGCCGCTGGTCTCGACGAACTCGACGTCGTCCTTGCCCATCCAGCCCATGTCGTAGCGGATCGCCGCCTGGAGGTTCGGCGCGAAGCCGTTGCCCGAGCCCATGACGTCGTAGAAGTCGCCGTAGTTCGTGTCCGCGCAGCGGTGGAGCAGGTCCTGGAAGTCGCGCTCGGGCTCGTGGCAGACGAGGCCCGTCGCGTGGTACTGCGCGCCCATCATGTGGAAGAGCTCGTGCATGTAGGTGGAGGCGAGCGCGGAGCACGCGCCGCACGTCTTCGGGCACTTCGCCTCGGGAGTCTCCTTGACGAAGTCGACGACGGTGGGACTCGTCGCGTCGCCGAGCGTCTCGTCGGCCTGGAACGTTTCCGCGGAGCCGACGCTCGCGTAGATCGCGCCGTCGACGCAGAGCTTCCAGACGATCGCTCCGTCCTCCTGCGCCGCGCCGCCGTAGATCATGGCCTGGTGGACGGACTGGCCGGCGTAGGGGCCGAACGGCAGCACGTCGGTGCCGCCCGACTGCGCGTGGCGTTCGCCGTCGATCCACGCCGAGAGCGCGCCCTCGACCTGGTTGGTCCCGCCGATCTTCGGCAGGATCGTCGCGGTCATCGTGTTCTCGTACTGCGCGTAGTCGAAGGTCCAGTCCGGGCACGCCGCCGCCGCCTCGACGTCGCCGCAGCGCGCCGCCGGGTCCTCGGCGATGTAGGCGCAGTCGACGGACCCGGCGCTCCACGCCGCGTCGTCCTCGCAGGCGTCGTCGCCGTCGCCCGCGCTCCGCCAGCCGGGGCCTCCGAGGTCGCGGCCCATGTAGACGCCCGAGAACTCCTCCGTCCGCTCGTCGACGTGGAGCGCGATGGCGCCCGCCCACGCGCTCGTCGTGCAGTAGCCCAGGGGCAACACGACGATGCCGTCGTAGTCCGAAGCGTTGAAGGCGCGGCCGCCGCCGTTCGTCGGCGCCGCGATGTACGTTTCTTTGAAGAACTCGTCGTCGTCGCAGCCGGCGCCGAGGCCGTGGCCGATGCCGTTCTCCGCGACGAAGAACTCGACGGTCATGTCGTCGAGGCAGCCGTCGCTGACCTCCTCGAGGTAGGCCACGGCGGCGTCGTTGTGGTACCACGCGCGCAGGTCGGCCTCCGTCGGCCGGTCCTCCCCCTCGACGTCGTTGTAGTAGATGCCCAGGAGCGCGAGCTTGTAGTCCGTGGGCACCCGGTGCGCCTGGAGATGGTCCGCGTGGGGCTCCTTGCAGTACGGCCGCGCGGCCGCGGCGACCGCGACGAGGAGCGGAGCGGCGCGAAGCATCGCGTCTCGGCCTGCGGGCGGATCGGCGGTCGGCCGCGGGGGGGGGGCGCGC